CTTTGCTTATCCCACACTTGCATCCATGGCACTTGCAAGCGGGGATTTTTTCATGATCGCCGAGTTCGTCCCATATGGTTTTTAATTTTCCAAAGTACGTAACGATGGACTGACCGTTTTGCTTGCAATTTGCAAGTTCCTTCTTCAGTTGATGAATTCGAGGACCGTTTGCAACAGAGAAACGATCTTGGATATCCTTCCATAGTTCTGCTGCTTCTTCTACCTGTGTGATGGAGTTTCTCAGGCTGCCATCAATTGTGTTGTAAATCCATGAGACCAACATGGCATTCACAATCCACCATTCTTCATAGTTTTCATCTCCCTCTTCTAGACAAGGGATGGATCCGTCGATGAATCCAATTTTCCGTTTTGCACGGAATGCAATTCTCATTGCACGAGCCCATTCTTCATAATTATCACCGTTTAGTTTGACTTGGGCGATAATTAATCCAGGTGTGTCTGCGTTCTTGAGTTCGTAAAAACTTCCCTTTGTAGGGATCTTCTCTTCCTCTTCGAAGAGCTTGCCGACGAGATTCTCTTCTACTTCTGCCATGTTGACGGTCGAGAAGGAAATTCCGGCGGTGATGGACCGTCGTTTGTCTAGATTAGGGTTTTCCTAGGAATCAGGCTCTGATACCATGTAGAAATTAATAGGAGAGTAAATAGTTTGTATATTGAATTGGCTTGTGAATACAAAGGTATAACCCTCTTTATATAGGAAGAGAGTAAAGCATATAAGTAAACTTCTATTCCTACCATATTTCTATTTCTACTAAAAAGAGAAATAAACAAACTAGGAAAGATACTAAATCGAATCCCAAAGGGATTCAGTTTCCTTCTTCGATATGACTTCCTTCTTCTGTCGCCAACAGAACTCTTAACTTCCAATTTCTTCCAGTTTCTTCCCGTTTTTTCCAGTTTCTTCCAGTTTTTTCCAGTTTCTTCCAGTTCCTTCCAGTTTCTTCCAACTTTTCTCATTTTCTTCAAATTCTTTCTACTCCTCAACCAATTACTCTAAAAATGATATATTTTAATGTGATTATTATTATTATTATTATTATTATTATTATTACAACTGTTATATTCATAACTATAGTTTATAAATTATTTTTTTCATGTCACTATTTTTACGATTCACACTTATTATTTTTTTCAGCTTTTTAATATGAATAAGACATTTTTTTGTATATTAGTCTACATGATAAAACAGGAAAACATCAATATGTTAAATTATACGAAAAAAATTATGGATAAAATAGTTACATTGAATGTGTTATTAATATAACTTTTTATAAGACATCTTAGTTTTTCCTTTATTACTTAAAAATTGCTCATTTTTCTAATTTTTATAAAAAAAAGTTGTAAGTTAAAAAAGCTTAGAGAAAAAGACTAAAATATGAGTAAAACATAAAAAATGTAAACAAAAAAGTTCTATGTCTTTATTTCAAAAATAGGAATTCAATGAAAATAAAATGTCAATCATGAAAGAAACAATAGGTTTGATTATGTGACATGTATGATATTTAAAACAAAATGTTTTAATATATAAATTATAATTACAAATATATATTATTGATAATAAATACTGCATAAATAAATTGAGGTGCAATATAACTACAAAGACTTCTTAAAATTTAATATTTTTATATTTATGCTAACTTTATATTATAATTATTTTTTGCAAAAGTAGGTTTTTGTATTTAAAAAATAACAATATTTTTTTTATATCTTAAAGACATTGACTAAGATAACGTGATGATGATGATGATAATGATGATGATGATGATGATGATGATAATAATAATAATAGTAATAATAATAATAATAATAATAATTTATAACAACAAGAATTTAAAATAAATATTTTTAAAGTTTTTTAGGTTTTGCAATTGTTGAAGTTTTTCCAGTTTTTTCCAGTTCCTTCTAGTTTTTTCCAGTTTCTTCCAGTTCCTTCCAGTTTTTTTCAGTTTCTTCCAGTTCCTTCCAGTTTTTTCCAATTCCTTCCAGTTTCTTCCAGTTTTTTTTCAATTTCTTCCAGTTCATTCCAGTTTTTTTCAGTTTCTTCCAACATCCAACTCTTTTTTACAGTCCTAAAGAACAGGCCCTACATATGGCCACTCTATCCTAATAGATGTGGTGTTTTTCTGTGTGGGTGTTTATTGGCTCATTGCTGATAATTTATTTTTAACTTTTAAGCTATTTATAAATCAAATATTATTTAATCGAAGTAAAATAACTAAAATGATAGACAAGTCACTTGAAAATATTTATAAATGGTGAGGGATAGTTTTATAAATAATCTCGTCAAAATGGAGAAATGAAAAAACTACCTTTAAAATAGGTAACTAAGACTATTTATTTTTTCTGCTTAAAAACAATTTATAAGTCGGTCTATAAACATACAAAAATACTCCCTCCGTCCCCCAGTTTTTGTCCACTTTTGACTTTTGGAACTGTTCATCGAAGCATTTTGACTCATCAAATTTTCTGAATGTGTAAGCCTAAATATAATCATGTGTGATCTTGTTTGATTTGTCTTTAACATATAGAGTATTAATATATAATTTCTATAAGTATTTAATATACAAATTATAAGATAAAATGAATTAAAGAAGTGCATTGGATGGTGTGTAAAAATGAAAGTGTACAAATATTCTGGGACGGAAGGATTATGACTTATAAATTAAAAATTAGTTATAAATAATTCTGACCGGCTTTAAAAGACAAAAAACACCCACAAAATTTGGGACAAAGAGCTTATTACAAGAAGCTGATTAAGGGTTGTTTGGGAATTGGGGGAGCCTATCCGCTGACTGCCGCCGCCGCCAGCCTACAAACCAACCCCATACCCACTGCAAGGCGAAGTGGCGAACACTGGAACGAGCAATCGTAACCCTAGCACACATTTATTGGGTCTTCTCGCCTTGAAACCTCGGCAGGTCCTTCTTTCATTGCGGCAGAAGCACCAACCGAGCTCATCAATGGCGAACCAACTCACCGCACAGCAAAAGCCTCTCCTTCTCCACTCTGTCGTCCAGTTTCTCCATCGCAACGGCTTCTCCAAAACCCTCAAGCGCCTTCTTAAGGAAGCTCAGATTCAGGTCCACTTTTCTCGTTTTTCATTGTTTTCATTGTAGATGCACAAGAGATGGAAATTACTGAACTGCAACTGAATGAATATCATTCTAAGCTCATCTCATGGCGGTTCCTTCAATTTTTGAATATAGAAACTCCATTATGTATTTCGATTGGTGCCAGGGGAATACATTATGTAATTATGTATATATGTGTGTGTGTGTGTGTGTGTGTATAATGTATACGCATGTAGGCATAATTACACATGTATAAATATAAAGACTTTGGCTAAAAAAAATGTTCTTCCCATGAAAAATAGGAATTGATATGGTGCACTGAAATTCCAATCTTAAGGCAATGATTAAGAGAATATCTAGGAGAAGTGCAAAAGCAAAAGTCAAAAAATGAGTGAAATTTTTCTACCACCGCGAAAAGTGCATCTCAATGGTCAATGGAGCAAACATGCATCAGAGTGGACCAAAAATGCAGTTTGCTTTTTTTCACTGGAAGATCACTTTTAGATATTTTTTGATGCAATGCAATGTCCAGACCCTACTGTAGTGGGATTCAACTGGGTTGTCGTTGTTTTGATGCAATGCAATGCAAGCACTAGTCATAAGCTTTTACTCCAACCTAAATGCATGGTCTTTGAAGATTCTAAAGGAATTTCCCTGGCACCCAGTCGAAGCATAGTTTGCTATGTGTGGTTAACAATAAGAGAGCCTACTTTTGCAGGATGATTGTTGGAAGAATAGTTCATGTGATTTGGAAGAGGTGTTTTGCAAATATCTAGATACTTGGTAAGCTGAGAATTGTAATTGAATGCAGTGATAATATTTCAATCTCAATCTCCATATAGGTGGCATAAATAACATCAAACATTACTTTGACATGTTCCATTTTTACCGATAAAAATAACCTAACTTTCCTGCTGTAATTCTTGATATGATTCTTGATATGCATGCTTCACTAAAAGGGTAAATGACATAATCTCAGTATGACATTTTCAGTAGTAATGCAATAAGAAGTTGACTTAATTATGCTATTGCCACTGGACATCTAATTCCATGGAATATAGGTCCAGTGACATGTTTTTCAAGAAATAGTTTCTCATTCATTCTACTTCTGATGATAAATGATAAATGTAAATTTTTATTTTAATTTATATACTATTGTTACATGTGCTTCTATAAACGCAGGAATGGTGCCCAAACAAAATCTGAAGGCCACAAGGAACAAGGTATTCTTTGCAAATTATATTCTTTATTGAATGTTTTTCTACTTTTATATTTATAACATGCCATTTTAAATTCTATTTTACAAAAATGCAATACTATGTTACTTTGTAAGTGTGTTTAGATTCATTGACTTACCTTTCTAGTATTTATGTGCGAGATCAAGATGATGACAGAGCTAATAACCCTGGAGACACTATTTCTAAGAAAAAGAAGAAGAAGCATAGCGAAGGTAAAGAGAACACCGTGGCCTACAAAACTGACAATGGTAATGGACATGTTAAATTTGATGCTAATGAAACAATCATAAGTTACAAACTTAATGATTCAAATGTCAAATCTTAACGTAAGGGAAGTGGAAATATATCTTAATCTTTAGACCTAGCCAATACAAAATCAGAGGCACCATTAGAGGTTGTTCCTGGTTCAGTTTGTGACGTTCAGATAGCCAACATTGAAAATCCGAAAGACAAGAAACAAAAAATAAAAAGGTATTAACATCTGAATCATTCGCAGGCAATGAAGGCCATTTATCTCTAGCATCTGAAGGAAAGCAAGAGTCTTTAGAATATTTGGCAGCTCAAAGTTGTGACAAAATTGTTGAAGAGGATGCAACTAAAAAGGAGAAAAAGAAAAAAAACAAGTCCAGCAAGCTAGATATTGAATCTTGTGCAAATGACTCTGTTAAAGAGAAACCTGTGATATCAAATGACCCTTCTCAGACTATAGAAAATGGTGATACTCATGTTAAGGATTCTAAGAAAAGAAAAAGAAAAGGTTCTGAAGAAAAAGAGAACAAGCAACTTGAAGAAGAGAATGTTGAAGAAACTAAACGAAGAAAGTTGGAAGAAGTCAAAGATGCAAAGAACATAAAGCAAAAAGGTAAAACAGATACATTCCCTAGCGGTAATGGACATGGAGGACTAGGAAATAACAATCAGATGGACAATGTTAGTCTTGGTGATGATAAAAAACAAAGTAGTGAAGTCCCAAATGACAACTCTGTGAATGAGCTGAAAAACTCTTCCCAAGAGAAGTCCACAAAAAAACAAAGAAATGGTTCTTCCGAGGTATGTTTTTTTCTTATTAAAGCCCTTGATACATTTAGCTTGTTAATCAATTTCAACATGTTCCATGATCCCCATTTCCAAACCTAGACATTTTCAATTAAAAACTGTTGTTTTTTTCATGGGACAAAGGGTTCGCTGTTCAATAATCCTGCATTTTTTATGTTGTAAAACTAACACAGCCACTTAAATAAAATCATTGTTGCAACTCAACACTAAAAGACTCATCATCATAGAAGCCTCCATGCGGCCACATTTCCCCATCATTAGTTGAGTTCCCAATCAAAATCTCAGCTTGTGATGGTTGCCTACTTGGCTATAGACACCTTTTAGACCGCCACAGTGACACATAGTTTTCTATCCATCTACCCAAATTGTGAAGTTTAGTATTGACCCAAAGCTTGACATGTATATGTGCTATTTTCATGCATTTTCACCTCTCGCTTTTAGAGCCTTATTTTATTCCTTGCAAGGGTTAGAAGATACCTTTTTTGCCCCATATTATTCTTTGCATCTTTAGGAATTGGGTTGAAGATTCATTTTATTTGATGTTTTAGTTTGAAGTTTATTGAAATTTTTAAGCCAGTTGTGCTTGCATCCACCACTTTGTTATTTTGAAAATCATTATTTTACTTGTATTTGTTTCATGATTTGTTGTTTTCCCGTGTATCCTTGTCTCTTTAATTTGCTAGTTTTTAAAATAAAGACATTTATCTATTTACATTTATAACCTTCTTAAGAATAATTTTAATCTGGCTTCTAGCAACAACTTCTTGACCAGTTAAAGCCTTTGGTAATAAAATGGGGCTATTTGGAGTAGACATGCAAACACTTCATTGATATTGAGTTCCTCTCTTGTTTGGTCCTTACCCTCTACACTTGTGACTTCTAGCATTCTAGGTCTCTCTCTGTCTTCAGCAGATTCACATGCTGAAAAAGAATTAAAAAAAAACAACGTATACAATGTACAACAAATATGTAGTTACAGACTCACCTAAAAAACATCTTGACAAGATTGAGTCCATTAAGAATTGAAGAAGTACTGGTAGGACATGGGAGGATTCCTCCTCTACCAAATCCTAATAGTTTATGCATGAAGTGTTTCTCAAATATCTCTAGCAGGCACTGTTTTGAGCACTAAAACAGAACTTGTTTCTATATTCCATTTATCCAAAAATAAGCACAACTGCACAAATGCACCGAATCACAATGCGTACTTCTCTATCTATTGCACTTATTCTCAAAATATTGTAGCAAAGATCCTTGTACATCATAGTATCAGCATTGATTTGGATTAGAAATTGAAATGCCAACTGTGTATGGGGTACAATTTCATTTGGCATTTTTATCTCATGTTTGACTCTCTTCTTTGATTTCTGACCTGCAAAGAAGAATTTGTATCTAAGAAAATTGATATATGTTACTGCAGCCTAAAAGCCTAAATGCGTTCCAAAGAGTGAAAGCCGATGAAGTGGAATTTGTTGATGACAGGCTTCGTGATAATTCTTATTGGGCTAAGGTATAAATAATTCCCTGTTCTGTTGGTTTTATATATATATATATACACACACACACACACACACACACACACACACACACACTGCATGTGACACGGTGGAAAATTGATTGTCTTGAAAAATTTGCTTTTCTCAGGATGGAGCGGACTCTGGCTATGGTGCCAAAGCTCAGGAAGTTCTCGGACAGGTCAAAGGAAGGTACGTTTAATCAGCGACCATTTCATTTCCATGAAAAAGCCAAAAAGTCAATTCCTATGTTTGTTTTCATCCTGAAAAAAAAACTATTTGAGAGTATTGCCCTGTTTATATAGAACAACTCGGTTGGAGCTGCTGCCCAAGGGCTTGTTTGGTTGAGGGATATTGGAGGGGTGGGGAGGATTGCTTCTTTAAAAAAACAAAACTGTCCATATCTATCACCTCTGCATAAATATCAACCACAATTTTCTTTTTCTTAGTTTCCATGCGGTTAAAGTGTACTCATGCTTAGCTAAATTGTGTGTTTTCGAACATGGGGTCGCTTGCAGGGACTTTCGGCATGAAAAGACCAAGAAAAAAAGAGGCAGTTACAGGGGAGGGCAGATTGACCTTCATTCCCACTCCATTAAGTTCAACTATTCTGATGAGGACTGAAGGGGTGTGTGAGAGGTTCCCACATCAAATCCCCCCCGTATGGGCCTTTCCACCGCCACAAATTTTTAGCATTATGTTATTATTATCATTATGATTACAATTTATCATGTTTTTGTGGAAGACAAGAAGAGGGGTATGGCTGGTGTGACATCTATAGAAGAGGTTTTTTTTTGTTTAAGTAATTTTTGTTGTTGAGTCAATTGTGAGTTAGAACTTGACAACCTTTTTATAAATGCAACATTGTTTTTTTCGAGTAAATTCTATAAATAGTTCTTCATAACAAAATCTAGTTGGATCCCGCCAAATGGTGCACGTCAATTGCTAAAGGAGGATAAGCTAGGATGCTATTGGCCTAGGTGTGTGGTAGTGAGGAACCTTTCTTGAGGTTTTTCGGGTTTTTGCCTCTCCATTTCGATAAAAATCTTCAATTTTGAAAATCTTGTGGTTATTTATATTTGAGAATTGTTTCATAATTAGTCCTTTTTTATTATATGAGAAAGATAATATTTAGGTCAAAGTATCAATTATGAAATGCTATGAAGTTGTCAAAAATTGAGGATAACAAACATACTTTGTGATATTTAAGGTTTGAGGGTTATATATGAAAATTTTTATGTTATAAAGAATTATTTATTAAATTTACTCTTTTTTAAATGCTAATTCTTTTAGCTTTTTGAGCTAGTTTAGTGACGATGCGACATGCTAAATCATTGGTTCGGGTTAAGCTAGTTGGAGTGATGTACTAGCTAATGAAACATCGGTGGTTTTTAGCGTACTTAAGCCTAAAGTGTCATCTATAGGTCCATATCCATGAGGGTGGACACGCTTCAAGCATGATTGCACCACATGAAGAGGCTAACACTTAATCAGATCTATCTCAAGTTGTTATATTTGAACTACGTAATGCTATGGTTCTATTTCCACTGTTTCATGCTTTGTCGTTGTGACCTTGTAGTTGCAAAGCTGACTGTGAAAAGATCGATAGGAGCGATGCCTCATAGATGAGCTCTACTGCCGCACACAATGGATGATGGTGCCTTCGTAGCCTAGCCTTCTATTAACTCATTTCTGATACAAAGCTTGCTTGATTATGTTCAAAACTCTCGATTAAAGGGTCAATGACGAATTATAGAGACTCGAGTATAGAGACTAGATAGAAATGAATTCCATCTAGATAGAAAAAGTTCAATTCATATATTGATTCATGAAATTATGAGTTTGCTATTGATTGCATGTCTCCTCCATTATATATAGATGATGATGGTGATGATGCGTAGAAATCAAACAAATCAACAACCTAGGTCAGTCACTTATCTATTTGCTTAAGCGGCTTAGTTATTCAACAATAATGTCAGAGGTGACTCTTGATTAAGGCCACGACCGACTGCCAGTCTTTAACAAGACTGATCATTGTCCTGAGGTCTATGATTCACCAACATTCATAGGCCAGGGCCAATTTCACGTGGGCTGCTTATGAGTACTCAAATTTCTTCTTAAGCTTGGATATAAGCTTTCGATCTTGGGCTGTTCTTCCACATGTCTTATACATCGATCCAAAGTATTCAATAGGACCTAAACTCCACTTGCTCAACTCTCACGAAATTAAAGAGCCACCACTGAATTAGAGATTCAACATATAGAAAGAAAGTTCCGATTTCTCGTCGTCGTTGGGTGACAATAGATAGAAAAAGATGTTGCCTTGGTCTTTGTGAAGGCATAACAATTGTTGGAGATGTGTTTTATTGCAGCACTCTTACAGTTGTGGAGACTGAGATAACTTCGTTTATGTAGATGCATGATGTGACTTTCACGCCTTACTCTCTTCAATAATGTATTTGAGATCACTTTGTGATCTTCACGATTTGGTCGTTGAAGAAAGATTGATCGACACATATGAGTGTCATTACTATTACGTTGATTAATCATCGTTGACTTTGTAAAATCAAAGGATAACATACCAAATACGTATAACATGAAGAATGAGCCCAAAGCCTTTACAAAAAAGTTTCCCGTGGATACCCAACATGGCTCTTACCGAATTAAGTTCAACAATTTAACAATATAAATAAGACGTTTATTGTAGGGATGCGAACTCCTATCCATCCACCGTAAGATTGAGGATATCATGAGATGGGCACAATAGATCCCTTACACACACCATATATGTGGGATGCACTCTCAAATCATGGAAGAAAATGACTGACAATTACACCCATTACTTCTAAGTCATTTTATTACATTTATTTATTATAAATGAAATCTTTCTATTTGTGGAAAGAGATCTGAGTCTAATTTTCCAAACTTGATTTGTAATTTTTTTTCACTCTCACATCTCATTTTTAATAATTCTCATATTTATATATTTTTCATATACGACCCACCACGATATTCTCGTAAGATTAAATTAAACTTCATGTGTGTATACATGCTTTGGTGATTCGACAATTGAATGCAATTTTGTGAAATACAATCTTAGAAACTACTCCATATTAAAAAGATACACAAGCTACTCAATATAAAAAATTGCTTTATGATAGAGGAAGTGGAGATAAAACCAAATTAGCATTATGTTATCAATAACTGTGCATGTAACAATTTCCTAACACACATATTTTAAACTTATACGATATTTACAAAAAATGCATGAAATGAGCATTATATGATTAATAAATACACATATTTATGTTTGGATTTCGAATATTCTCTGTCTCGAATTAAGATTTCAAACTTGAATGGATAAAAATATTAAAAATTAATTTTAAAAAGAAAATGTTGAACCTTTTTAGGGTGTAAAAAGTATTTTTTTTTTCATTTAATTTTTTAAACTTTCAAATTCTTTACCAATTTAATGTAATTATTGTAATACACGAGGACAATGGCTTAATAGTCCAATTTATATGCGGAGGAGGAGTATTAAATAGCCATTGTTGATGATAATAAATAGAGTAATGATATGAATCTGTGTAACCGAACAACGCATCTGCATCCAATCAAATGTATCACGCCTCCTGAAACCACAGCACATCTCGACGTCACGCAACACCACCGCCTCCTGGTTCCCTCCGGCGACTTCTCTGCCCATCCGTCTCGCCGCCGCACCGACATTTTGAAGTCGGAGAAGCTTTTGCCACTCTCAGCCCGGCCGACGGAGCAGGGGCGGGGAATTCGAGCGGGAATCCTGGTCGATCGTTCTCCATCACTGTGAGTAGTGGGAGAGAATGAATGAATGAAGCTCCGATCGCCTGAAATAGGGAGCTATCTGCTCGGAGAGCCATGTGGTCGTCCTTCTGGAGATCCAGAAATCGTTTCTCTTTGGACGAGCTCAGGTACTTCTTCTATGGTCTTTTTTAAATTTTTAAATTTTCGTGTTTTTTAATCCTATCTCTGATTGTGGGCACTATTGAAGTAATTCGAAGCCAATTTTGCGATTTGAATTGTGTGTGGGCTGTTGCCTCCCAATCAACGTTCTGCTCTTAAACCTTTACTGTCTGCTCTTTGTTTGAATTCGGATCAAACTTCAAACTTGAACTTGCACACATACACATTAGGATATTCAGGAAACATACACAGTTGACCAGTTGGGGGAGAATGTTTTCATTCTCCTGTAGTACAATGGTAATTCTTATTTGTACATAAAGTTCTTTCTCTATTTCTTCATTTTTCTCGATGAAAAATCCAAAGGCCTTAATGTCATCTTTTTTATTATCAACTCCAAAAGGTTGAGTTCTTTTAAGTCTGGGAGCTTCTTTTTCCTGGTATCAAAGAGGTTCTGGTGAAGATATATTGCAAAAACTGTTGTGACTTGTAATGCTTACAATCAAATTTGGAACATACACTAATTTGTTAACAGTTTGATGACGCTTTCAAAGTCAATATAGAAGGTCAACTTATGACAGAGCTTCAAGATTCTTCTTTTCACCAAAACAAACACACTCTACAGCAAACCAGTTTTCTTTATTTTGTACTAGAACTTACTGGTAGATACTTAAATTCTCACTATAACTGAAAAGACAAAGAAACATATGCAAAGATATTTTTTGTTACGCTTCAGATCTTGTACATGGAAGTTTTGAGCCTACTTATACTTATGCACCAAGTTGGACAAAATAAATTGATCTATTGACAGCACTATTGGTGGTAAAATTGTTACCACAACTCACAAGGACTTAGTGCGTGTGTGTGAGGGGTGTGGGCGAGATGTTCTTGATTTCTTGAACTAGTCAGACCTCTTTATGCTTTTTTTTCTTCTTCAGAATTTTAACTGATTTATCAATGTTTTTATACAATCTCTCCGCTGTGTTTTCTCTAGAATTCACAATGTTTTCCATCTCTTTTACAGATACCTCACCGATCAATTGATCAAAGTTCAAACTGTCAATGAAGTCAATAAGGTGATTTCCTTTTTTTGTATGCTCCTTTCCTTGTGTTTCCATGCCAAACCCACTGGAAACTACTTTCATTCAAGCATCCTCATTCCTATCTGTTCTTGTGCTTAATGTTGAAGGATTTTGTAATCGAGGCACTGCGATCAATTGCAGAGCTGATAACATATGGTGATCAACATGATGTATCTTTTTTCGAGTACTGTCTTCACTTTTCTCGGCGGAAGATATTCTCCTATTCATTAATTGCCACTTAGAACTTGCTTTTATATGATTTATGCATTTCTTTAGGTTTTTCATGGAGAAACAGGTCATGGGGGAGTTTGTACGTATTTTAAAAATTAGTAGAACAGTTATTGTGTCGCTACAGTTGCTTCAGACAATGAGTATTATGATCCAAAACTTAAGAAGGGAACAGTCTATATGTGAGCCACTTTTCGTTCCTTTCTCTTAAAGTATATAACTATATACCTTCTTCAGAATGCACATTTTTTTAAATCTCCTCTTATTACGTTTTTGAATTTTGCAGATTATATTTTTTGTAATGAGCACATTAACTATCTTATATCTTACTCCTTTGACTTTCGCAATGAAGAGCTATTGTCTTACTACATATCCTTTCTTAGGTTTGTTTCCTAAAGCTCAACTCTTTGATGCAGTATTATTTTTTTTTCTTCACAAAATGATGTATCTTGTCAATGACATTCTTTCTGTATAGTGATGCCTTCTACTCATACCATTTTTATAATATTTGTCAATTCCATAGAGCAATAAGCGGAAGGTTGAACAAGAACACTATTTCTCTTCTTGTCAAGACACAAAGCGTAAGTTTAGGTTTTACTAGGCTTTCCACTTTGTATATTGCAAATTTCTATGCTTTGCTTTTAAAAACAGGAGAAATCAATAACTTCATACTCCATAGTAAACTTTTATTCTACTATAGTGCTACTTATACATAAGCGGTAGTTTGTGTGTGGGTTTGTACTGGGGAAGGGGCCAGAGGGTGGATGGTGAATTTGTTTTACCTTTTGGTGTGTGAATTGAGGAATATAGAAAGGTCTACACTTTGAAGGGGATTTTTCTTGGTAGATTTGTTATTTGTAGAATGGGTCAGATTTCTAGCATGTGTATTTATAATATTGCAAAACCCTTTTTTTGTTTTTAAATTTTGGGGGTCGGGGCTACTCTCCGAAATGACCTTTTTATTCAACATATGAATTCTAGTTGTGCATGAATAAAATGTGTAGATGTTCGAGCAACACCCAAGACCATGGCATGATAAGTTGTGCATCATAACTCATAAGGTTTTAGACACTATATGGCTATACGCACAAGCATGACTTATTTATTTATTAAAGGAATCTCACATTTGTTTAGCATTCATTCACAGTAGATCCATTTAAATTACCATAACTTTCTCGTCAAACCATTATGCATCCTCCCCAATGAATTTCAAAGGGTTTAGTGGCTCTAAATGATCAAATGGGATGATTTATCTTATGTTTCCTCTTAGGATGATGTAATTTCATTTCCACTTTATGCGGAGGCAATACGGTTTGCATTTCATGAAGAAGGCATGATTCGAACTGCGGTTCGAGCTTTAACACTGAATGTTTATCACGGTGACTTCCAGTTTTTTGCTAAGCTTAAGCTCATCAGGGAATGTAAATTTCCATCTGCTTTCATAAACTAAGACCTTGTACTTTGTTCACAGTTGGCGATGAGGCTGTTAACAGATATGTAACCAGTGCACCTCATGCAGATTATTTCTTAAGTTTGATCAAATTTTTCCGAGAGCAATGCATCAGTTTAAATAGGTTGGTTTCAAATGCCTCAAAGATTTACTTTTTTTTTTTTGGCTTTGGGATATTGCAACATTTGATGCTGAAAAGGGGGTCTCTTTGGAAACAACCTCTTTACTTTCAAGTAGGGGTAAGGTCTGCATATAGACAGCCTCTCTACTTTCAAGTAGAGATTCAACTGGGTTGTTGTTGTTGGCTTTGAGGTATTGATGGAGTAAAGCAAAATGGTTCTTTAAACTGTTTGTATTTCTTTCAATAGTGAAGTTGCAGTTAGTCAATGCAACTTTCGACACTTATCTTGGGTCATATGAAAATGGCAGCTCTATGTTTTAAACATAGGGTTCGTACATCCGACCCCTTACCCCGCAATGGGCGGGAGCATTTGTGGCACGGAGGTAATGTTGTTGTTCTTGTAGGTTTCAAATGTCTCTAAGTCATTGTGACTGTGTTTTAATCTGAAAAGTATTGTTTACTTATTAGCTGATGTCTTCTCATGATTTTTGACACAGGAATTTGGGTGCAGATGCAATCTCTTCTGTCATTCCATCTGTTGATGAGATCGAAGACAATCTCTACTACATCAGTGATGTTATTTCAGCAGGAATTCCAGATGTAGGGAGGTTGATTACAGACAACATACTGAAGTTTTTGATATTTCCATTGGTTCTTCCTTCTTTAAGGATGGAAATTGTTGACGTAAAGAACTAGATTCAAGCTCTTTATCTCTTGTAGTTAATGCTTTCTCATTTACTTCAGGAATTGAAATCATCTTTCTGTATCATCAAGGTTATTAAGTTGCACACTAATGTTTAGTGTTTCTGTCTCTATAATACAGGATACAGAAATCGGCACTGCAACTTCTTTGTATTTACTTTGTTGCATTTTACGTATTGTTAAAATCAAGGATCTAGTGAACACTATTGCTGCTTCACTTCTATGCCGCATAGAAACTTTCTCGCACAAATCTGAACCCAAATTAAATGGATATGTGTCAAGTGATTGCTTGATGGACAAATGTAATGAATCTGGTAATGGTGACATAACACCAAAACCTGATGCAAGACTTCTACAGGTTTCGATACCAAATTTATTTAGTCCACAAAATCAATCAGGAAGCACCTTGCATCAGGACTGCAGTGGCTCTCATTTTTCAATAAGGTGTTCAGTGTTATCTAGCATTCTCCCATTTTTGTTTTTATGATCCAACCCTGTTTTTTGTTTGTTTTTCTAATTACACACACACACACACAAATTCCCACTCCGACGTGTGCTCCAAACCTATACTTTTATGATATAACTTGTGATTTACTCCCCCCATCCCATTAGATAGTTAGCAAAGAGAAATTTACGGAGTTTAAGGAGGAGGACAATGACCTTTTGATGTGACCAAAACGTAAAAGGGAATAGTGATTGAAAAGTGGAAGTGTGGGTATAAATTAGAAGGGAAAAGGGGTGGTTTAAATTTGGGGATGTGGTATTGGTTTTTTTTGGTATAGCCCTAAAATAGATGGAAAAAAGGAAGTGTAAACTTACAAATGGGAAAACAAAAATGGAAAGTGCAAACTTTCTAATGGGACGGAGAGTATTAATATTTAATTAATATGACCTTGTGACCAAAAACTTGATTCCTTGTTGGTAGAGTGACTGCCATGTGGCATTTGATCAAAAGCCTTAGAGTCTGGCAGTCTGCTGATGCTCTTTTATGCAGGGATGCCTTGCTTTCTTATATCATCTGTGGCAACGATGTTCAGGTTTCAGGTTCTTTAAGTGTGCTGGCCACTCTATTGCAAACTAAAGGTTGTATAACTGAACTTGTTGCTTTATTCTGAAGTACTTCTACTTGTTCGTAAAAATCCTTTTGACTTGTAGAACTGGATGAGGTAATGCTAGATGCTCTTGGAATTCTTCCACAGCGGAAACAACAAAAAAAACTCTTGCTGGTATGTGGCTGCTTTGATCACCTTTGAAAGCAATATCCAAGATAGAAATGGACCATTTAATGTAAAGTTCTACCTTCTTCATCCCACTTGCACTCCTGCTGCCCATTTTTAAACTTTGTGGTTGCTGAATTTGCATAAAGCATATTTGAAAGATTTTGATGTTATAGGACAGTAAGTGATCCCTGATGAACCATCCTCTCCTCACTCTTCAGAGTATCCAAATTAGGTAGTAACTTAAATACTGGTGGTCAGTTTAAGTCAGTTAGAGGTAAAATTTCTAAGAAACATAAGTGTTAAGTGTTAACCACTGAATTTGCTTGGAAGGAAAGTGAGTGACAAAAGCCCATGTTTAGTTATATTTGGAATGTTGGATCATGAACTGTGGATTTGGTAATGATGTACATTGACAATGAGAAGCATCTCATCTGTAATATTTGTTTAATTACTAAAACCTACTCTATTTTGAACTTTCCAGCCAGATACTTCAGTTTCTAATATAATAATTATTGCAGTTGCATATGTTTTATTAAATCTCCATTCTATTCAAGATCTGAAGGATATTTCTGTTTTGGTGCTGTAACTGCAGCAAGCTTTGGTTGGTGAAGAATCTGGTGATGATCAACTTTTTTGCCCTGAAAGTAATGTAACCAAATATGGCTTCAGTGGCGAGCTTGATAGCTACCTCCAAAAGCTTAAGGTGCTAATGCATTACTCTTCTTTCTGTCCATTTCTTGCTCTAATGTGTAGCAGTATGTTATTGATATTGTGGACCATCTAATCTAGTTCCTATTTTCGTAAAAGAAGTTTAGAATTATCTAGCTAACTATTTAGGATGGTATATTGGTAGAAGATATAAATGTACAGTATAATGTCTGTTGAACGGGCATGTGCATTCATTTAGTAATATTTTATTAAGAATTTCAGAACTATTATTAGCTGTTTGAGTTTTTCATATTTGTTTCATTGTAATTAAGGGATCCTATACACTGAAGGATGTTTAGTTTAGCTATCCTATTTTCCCTAATTCAGTTTAAAATCTAAATGCCCCTGACTATGGTACTCTTCAAATACTGGGTAATGTTAGAAATTTGTAATGCATCTGATTTATGTTGTTTTTATTATGCTTCTTCACACACTCAAAAATTTTATTTGAATTATGTACCTAAAATTCAAGATTGACTAAATATTTTTGAATCTTGTACTTGTTTACAATCCTCAATCCTAAATAGCAATAAGCTAAACTGTTAATTTTTACGTGTTTTTTTAATTACCCTAAGGAGTTCACAGCTTTATACCCATGTGCCATGGTTATCATTAATACATGCAGCCTGACCTCATATCAAGTTATATACTCGTACATTGATATCTTCAATGCAAAAAGTGTTTTGTCAAAAAAGGCATAAAACCTTGTTCAGTTGTCTGGTTTGTTTAACTCGAACATCTCATTCTATTGGATTCTCTATCATTTGATTCATTGAACAGGATCATTGTGGAGTCTCATGTTCATACCTAAATATTGGAACAAGTCCCCGGGTTAATAGATATCAAGTATGTATTACTTTGTACAATAGCTGAACTTTGTGCAATTTTAGCTTTCTTATGTTTGTCCTTTCCTCTTGTGGGATTCTCCTGTGTTGTTGTTGTTGTTGTTGTTGTTGTTGTTGTTGTTATGTTCGTCTCTTCCGTTGTATCCTCCCCACCCCACCTCCAAAATAAATAAAATAAAACCTCTACTTGAATATGTGATTTTGTTCTTTAAAGATTAAACTTTTCTTTGCTTTAAAGTTTAAACACCCCCTTATCAAAATGAATCATTTGTTGTTAGGTACTCGATGCATTGGTCAGTCTTTTCTGCAGGTCAAACATCTCCGCAGACACACTATGGCATGGTGGTTGGCTTTTGCGCCAGCTCCTTCCTCACAGTGATGCAAATTTTAATAGCAATAATCGTAAATTGCTTGAGGTATGTTATTTTTTCAAAGAGGATGGGCATCAGTTTCTTACGTGTGAAGTTTCTCTTGGACGTAAAGGGCTTTTAATAAACTCCAGTTGTGTAAAAATTACTTAACCTTGAATTTTTGTCTATAACTCATTGGGGAAATCTTGTTTCTGAAGAGTTCATACTGTAGCTGCACCCAACGTATTCTTGAAGAAACAAGAGGAACATGGCCTGATCTATTGATTGCAATTATCAGTGACGAGTGGAGAAAATGCAAAAGAGGTACTTCTTTTGGTTATAGTCTTTTTATGTGCCTAAGGTTGCGTCTTATTATTTAAAAGGAGAATTTTACTCGCAGCAATTGAAGCCTCATCACCTCAGAAAGATCCTAAATCCATGCTTTTGCCACAAAAGAAGCATGCTTCTGAAGGTATACAAGAATGTTAATTTCATAGAAAATAAATTTTCAATGGACATTGTTTAATTGAGAAAAGCATATTGAAATAATTTGTTGAATTGATTTGTTTGATAGACCTGTTTCCTGGTGATTCATCTATTGCTGCTGGTGAAAGAATGTGCGAGACAGTGAAGGTTGTATTCGATACTCCTCCATCCTGAAATATATTTCTTCATTCCTTTTCAGACCATCTAAAATCATCTTCTCATTTCTTTAAATGGCAAGTAAAAGACACATTAAAACACATAATTGCCCTTCAATTCCTAAACTCTAGATCTCATTGTGAATTACGGAGTAGTAATTTTAGATAAAGGGAAATTTTGGATAGTCTAAGGCAATTTCACTTTCTTAAAAATCATCCCAAGTCAACTTCGGGACAGAGGGAGTATTTGTTTTCTGGTGCCAAATATTTTTAGTCTTATTTTTCTGTATGCTCTGGTAATCTTCATTAACTACTGTGCAGGTGTTTGTATTAGTTCATCAACTATGTTCCTTCTCAATTGGTAAAGTTTTGCCAGATCAACCTCCGGTACGGCCTCCGACTGATGCTCCAGCAAGCTCCCGTGCAAAAACTGCCGGCGTGACTGGTTTCAGCCCAAAACCAAGCACTGAAATAAATCTTGGTTTGTTTTCAGTTTTCACATTCTTTTTTTAGCTTGAAACTACCATTCTGGTTGTATTTTACTCCGTATTTATTATTTGAGTTGGTGTGTTAGTTCAACTTTTAGTCCTCAATAATCAGTTCAACTACTCTTGAGCTCATTGACTTTTCAAAATGTACCAAATCCAGTCCCAAATCACTTCGCTTTAAAGTTATTATGAACTACAGACCAAAATTTGTATTCACACGGTTTTTTGAATTCTTGGCACTCTGCGTGCTTTGCTTTTCAGGGGACGCGGTGCCTTGTAGAATTGCATTTGAGAGGGGCAAAGAGCGCCATTTTTGGTTCTTAGCCACCAATGTAGGAATCTCTGGTTGGCTCATTCTTGCAGAAGAGTTACCTCAGAAACCTCAGTTTGGTTTGGTGCGGGTTGTGGCCCCTTTGGCCGGTTGCAATGTAAGCATTTCAAACTTCACATTCAGCTTCTTTTTTGCTAATCATAGAAAGTTTAAAGCTCCTCCGGTTTTCTCTTTCTTCACTCCATCCCCTCCAACCAAACACACCTCACTCCACTTTCCTCCCATCCTCCCAACTAAACATAATGTCTAAAAGGGTGTTGCTATATCCTCTCCCATATTTGCTAAATCCATTCCATTTATAACAAATAGTCAATTTTGCCCATAAAAATACAAGAGTACATTTAGATGCAACCCACCATTTAAGGACAAAATTGTCTATTTAATATAAAAGTAGTGGATTTACCCAAAAGCGGGGTGGGTTTAGCAACACCCTATCTAAAATACAGAAATAGTTCAAATACATTTATGGTATGTTTGGGAACATGGATTTGGATTTCAAATCTGGATTTGGCTCAAATTTCATGTTTGGGAAATATACAAATTTTGAATTTGGATTTGAATCAAATTCTTCTCACTCATAACAAAGCTTAATTTTAAATCCATGCGTCTCCCCTTGTCATTTGAAATTCAAGATTTCAAAATTTGGAATTGAAATACATGAATTGAAACGAAATCTTAGTTGCCAAACACTACCTTAGTGATCTGTTTTCTTTTGCTTTTGGTTCAGCCAAGAATTGATGACAAGCATTCGAAATGGCTACACCTACGAATACGTCCATCTTCCTTCCCTTTCTTGGACAAATACCCTTCCCCCTCAAAAGTCAGCAAGGCAAAAGCCTTGGTGGATGGAAGGTGGACGCTGGCATTTCGGGACGAGGAATCCTGCAAGTCTGCGTTATCTATGATAGCCGAAGAGATGCATTCCCAAAGCGCTGAGGTTGAAAGAAGGATACAGCCCTTGCTTGATATCAAATGAGCAGGCGTTCGTTTTGGAAATCTGTGTGCCTGTCTCAGAACTCTGGTATGAGTTTCCTTTTTTCCTGCCCCAATAATATGGTATTCCTCGAATAGAACAGAGATTCGTTTCACTATGTGAAACTCATTTTGTTTCACTATGTGAAACTCATTCGAAGAGGTACCATATGTATGGCTTGGGCATCCAACTATACTACTGCTTGCCATCTTTGTAAATGTCAAAAAAAGAAAGAAGAAAAAGATGAGGAAACCTTAGATGTACTAGTACCACCATTGTAGATTTTTATTTTACAGTGTGAAAATCTTCCATCCCTTGTATATTATGCTCCCAGTCTCTCCCATTGTTGACCTCATTTTCTAAAAAATGAACGAGCCAAGCTCGTGCCTGATCGAGTTGACTTTCACGTAGTTTAAAAAAAATTTGAAAAAAATGAAAAAAAGTGTGGTTGAAGTTAAGAGCGAAATCTTTTTAAAACGATCAACATGCATTGAATTTCAATTCAGATTCTCATTTTTCTTTGGACGTTTTTAGTGACCGTGGATATATTATCAGCGTATTTTTATCTAATTTGACTTTTTAAGTCAAATTAAATGGATATTCCGTATGAATTTTGTTCGCCAATTAAATTGTATTGCATATTAACATAAAATCATTTTACAAGATAAATTTAATGAAATTATTTAGACTTGTATTAATGAGAAAAGAAAAAGAAGAGAGCTTCAAGTAGATTCGAACATGTGGAAATGTTTTTGCCTTTTCTTTTGTCGCTTCATTAATGAAATTTATTTCAGAAAGCTATGATAATACGGAGTACCGGAGTATCACTCAAAAATATTGCTAGCATTCATTGTTTCCCGGATATTTTTTTCATTAATATTTTGTCACGCTTTCTATCATATAAAGCATTATTTTAATATTTTGTCATATTTTTGAGCCAAATTGGACAAAATTTAAGTTAATTATTCTCAATTTGTGTTGCATATTAGTATAATAAAATACGGAGTAAAATTTAGAAAGTTCTTAACAAGATAAATATATTAAAATCATTTTTATGCTAATATACATTATTATTTTTATTTAATTGAAGTTTAAAGCTCATCTTATTTGATTCAAAAAAATCAAATTGGACAAATACACTAAGACATAGGGAGTAAGACATAAGTGATCTAAAACGAGTATGTAAGTTCTGTTATCTCAAAACATACCACGTGTCTTGTATTTATTGGCAAATTATCAAATGGCCGCGCTGGTTGATAAACAATACTCCCTCCGTTGCACTTTAGATTACAATATTCCCTTTTAGTTGAAATTAAGGAAGAGTCAAATCAAATTTTTTCCCCAAATTACCCCCCAAATCCCCACAAATAGTGTGAATAGTGGCTGGCAGAAAAGAAAAGAGGAGGGTAAAAGAGTCAAATCACTATAAAGTTATTGACTTTGTAATCCTTTTTGGGACAAAAATGTGAGGGAATATTGTAATCTATTTCGGGACGGAGGGAGTATAACTTTTCAGATAACATTCGAAGCTTAGTATTCAAACATTAGAATGCTTTATGGTGAATAATCATTGAGTCCAAAATAGAACACTATGTCCCCCTGTATTTCAAATGACATTAGTAATAGATCAAAGTATATATGTAGGTTTATGTATTAAAGACCATAATGGTTTTATTAAGCCAATGAATAGTTATACTAATAGTCGAATGGGAATGGTACTAACACATTAAATTAATACACATATATAATCCTCATGATGGATCAATCCACTAACATACTAGTAATATGTTCTAGATATGTAGCCAGGTATAGCTTAAAGTATCACACTATCCATAGCCTTTAAATCATAACAATATTGTATAATACTCCCTCCGTCCTATAATGATCTTCCCGGTTCATTTTACGAAGTTTGACCGACTTTATTTTCAATTCAATTTATTTGATTGTAGGTGAAAAATTAAAAAATAAAATTTATATATTTAAAAACTACATCAAAAGTTCTACAAAACAAGTGGTGACAAGACTATATTATTTTTTCAAATACCTAATGAAAATAGATAAAGAAAGTGAGTAAAGTTTGACCGTGTAAAAAGTGTGTGGGAAGAACATTATAGGACGGAGGAAGTAGCTATTAGTCCTAATATATTATGACGTCCATATAATAATAATATTTGACTAAATATATTTTGAACATTGCCTCTATAAATATGAAAGCCTCATAATCAAAATATCATAGTTCTAATACTCTCTCCGTCCCGGAGTATTCGTCCAGTTTTGACTTTTAGAACTGTTCATTTAAGCACTTTGACTCATCAAATTCTCTCAATGTGTAAGCCTAAATATAGTCATGTGTGATCTTGTTTGATTTGTCTTAACATATAGATTATTAATATATAATTTCTATAATTTTTTAATATATAAATTACAAGATAAAATGGATTAAAGAAGTATATTGGATGGTGTGTAAAAATGAAAGTGGACAAATACTCTGGGACGGAGGTAGTATATACTAAAAGAGCGCTAAGTCTATGAATTGAATATATATATATATAGGGGCCGGTTCCCGTGAGAATGCACCTTGTGGAGAGAAATGAGAATAAAATCTAGCCGTCGGATCTGATGCATCGTGCGGCTCAGATTGCATCCTGCGCTCAGATTTTTAGATAGTGCATTTTTGAAGGTTTATGATGCATTTCAACGTGATGCATTTTCGCACCATTTTGGTGCATCTAATTTTGATGAAATCTTGACCCTTAGATCTCACAATCTAAAGCATCAGATTCATTCTCATTTCTCTCCTAAGATTGCATTCTCACCAGAACCTATATATATATATATATATATATATATATATATATATATATATATATATATATATATATATATATATATATATATATATATATATATAGGGGTTGGTTCAAGTGAGAATGCACCTTAGTGAAAGAAATAAGAATAAAATCTGGCCTTTGGATCTGATGCATCGTGCGGATCAGATTGCATCATGCGCTCACATTTTGAGATAGTGCATTTTTAAAAGATTTTAGTGCATTTCGACATGATGCATTTTCAAACCATTTTGGTGCACCTAATTTTTATGCAATTCTGGCCATTAAATCTCACAATCTAAAGCACCAAATTCATTCTTATTTCTTTCATAAGATTGCATTCTCACCTGATCCAATATATATATATATATATATATATATATATATATATATATATATATATATATATATATATATATAGACACACACAAGATGTATAAATAATCATCAAGGCCTATTATTCATGATGAAAATAACCCATAATCATCATGTAATTGATCACATGGGCACATAAACTCAATAATCCGCTACTTGCGCTTTGATCAATTATGCATTGCTATAATCCTTATTAACTTAGTATGATCCTCGTGTTTAAGTATCACTTTTTACTATTAATGTATGATAAAAATTTAATTTACTTTCTTTTTAAGTGATCGTTCGGCTAGTTTTGATGGACTCTCAGAGGCTTGGCGGAAGCTTGTACTGTTCATTTTAGGGGTGGGCAAAAATAACCGGTCCGACATTCTCCCAAACCGGACCGACAATATACCGAACTAAAAAATAGGTTTTCAAATAGTTCTATTAAATTATATGCCGAACTAAACCAAAACGAACCGTTATCAAAATGGTACAGGACGGGTTTTCAAAAAATAAATACCAAAAATACTGAACCGAACCATTACCGCTAAAATATGAAATTAATAAATTATTTATACATTTTCATTTGTTAAATTTTAGTAAGTTTAGGTGATATTTATTTGGTGTGACTTTCACATACTTAAACGTATGTTTTTATAATACTCTATTACTTCGAAGTACAACTCGAATCATAAATTTATTTGTTGAAAATACGAACTATGATTAAGTTTTTTTTTCAAAAATTGTAACCAAACAATACACTTTTTAAGTAGTGAAATTTGCACTAAATAGGACTAAAACATAATGATTTTCTTAATGTAGGACTTAAAGTTTTTTATTCCTTAAATAGGACTAAATAATGACCTCGTGGGAGGAATAATATCCAGTAATGCTATGCATTTAGTTGAATAATGACTACTTGTTAATGACCAAAAGTCCTACATTGGGAAATAAAAACAAATGGTCCTATATTGAGAAAGTCATTATATTTTAGTCCTATTTAGGTAAATCTCTCTTTTAAGTAAGGAATTAAGAATGCATAAAAATATTCGTGCACCAATTTTTTTTAATTACGTCAGCTGTTTCTTATAAATAAAATTATTTTCAAAATGTCAAAAGAATTATGAAATGGTTTGACATTAGTATAGCATGGTACCATCCTAGCTGTTATCGAACAAAACGCTACCAAATGGGTTTAGGCATAAAAATGAAACCGTACCGAATCATTTAAATAGTAACGATATGGTACGTGTTCTCTAAAAATAACGAACCGTCACGGACCCGACCAATCGCCAACCCCTAGTTCATTTGTTTGTAAATATAAATGGATTAATGAATTCATAGTGCTGGGTCGTAAATTAAAGTGAGTGGCGCCAGTCCTTTTTTAATACGTTTCTGATATACCAGTATCAATCTCTCCAATAAAATACGGATACGGATTCATTAATACACTGTATACATAGCAGCAGCAGCTGCTGCAGAAAAATCATCAACAATAAAGGCGGAAGAGTCTCATCACAATATATATTACCGCCTCCCCCTCTGCATTGTTTGTTCTGCTTCCCAGCGGCGGCGGATCGCCATGGAAAACATCGGCGAGGAGTATGAACACTACTGGGAAACTCACACCTTTCTTCAATCCGAGGAATTAGACCGGTATGTCCATTTGATTTCGATTAATTCGGTTTCGAAAAATGGATTGATTGATTGAATTCCTCGGTGCAGGTACTTGGAGGAGGCGATTCCGGCGGCGGCGGCGTACTACGATTCGAGCTCGCCGGACGGATCGGCGGCGTCTAAGAACATAGTCTCGGAGAGGAACAGGCGGAAGAAGCTCAACGAGAGGCTGTTCGCGCTCAGGGCCGTCGTCCCCAAAATCACCAAGGTCCGGCGAATTGAATCTAGATCCGTTTCATTATCTAACAATCAATCGATGGATTCTGAATTTTGTGTTTTTGAATTTCTGATTTGGTTTGAGAAGATGGACAAGGCTTCGATCATCAAAGACGCGATCGAGTACATCCAGGAGCTGCGCGAACAGGAGAGGGCGATTCAGGCGGAAATATGGGAGCTGGAGTCCTCCTCCATCTGCAGGAATAATGCAAATGGGAACAATAACAGCAACTACAATGGCGTGTTTGAGTTTGAGTTTGAATTCGATGAGGATGCGGCCGGAATGAGCTGCTCGAATTCGAAGGCGGCAAAGAGGAGTAAGGTAGGCGAGGAAAGGGAGGAGGAGGAGAGGGCGTGGGTTCACCACCACCGC